GTAGTAACACTTGTCTACTGCAGAGAGGTGTTATGAGGTTTTATAAATGTTCTGTACTAAGAAAATGTAAACAGTATAAAATATAGGAAGCCAGACTGTCAAACCAGAGAAAATGAAAGCAAACAACCAGTTCTCCATTCAAGCATTTAGCTACACCAACAGCTACTGGAAACTAGTGTGCACCTGTAGCTCTTGGTGAAAAGTGAGAGACTTCCAATGCTGAGGCTGTTAACTTGGGTGCTCATATATCAAATTACATTTTAGAAATTCATAGACTTGAAAATGCAAAGCTTATATTCCCTTTTTTTATAGAGATATGTATTACTATGCATATATATTTATATATATATGTGATACATAATTTGTGCATTTTGCTCCTCCATGTCTGTGTTTCAGAAATTTTCTTGCTACCTGGAATGATTTGCAGGTAGCTGCAGCCTCCTTCAGAGCACACAGTAACATTAATACAAGCTGACTGTTGTTTAGTTTGAAGCTGGACTGTTGTAAAAGTCCTGAAGCTCAGTGTCCTTCTGCCCTTCCATCCTGCCATTACTCTTACAGGTTCTCTCCTCAGGCCCTTTCGAGGATCCTTTCCCGGCTTCAGTTTGTACTAATGAGCTTTTTTATACATAAGTTTACTTTGGCGCAGACAGTATTTGTCCCCAGCCAGAAACACTTCCCAAGAAGTACCATAGCTCAATAAATAAGTTCGAAAAGCATCTTAATGAAAATAAACAGTCTAATGAAATATTGCTTGGATCAAAACAGAGATTAGCAAGTATCAACCCCTACTAGCACCATAAATGGCCTCTTTTCACCTCCCTCCTCTTAGTTTTAACAATTTGATCTAGTACACAAGTATAAGAAATAGAAAATTGATTTCATGACTATATATATATGATTTAATGAGACTTCGTAACTTGATCTGCCAACACCTGTGCTGCATTAAAAACAGGATATTGTGCGTCTTTAAACTGTACCAGGTAAAACTATTCACTCAGGGTATAGTGTACTTTGCATTGCTGGAGTGTGGTAACATATGCCTGTTACCAAGGACAGAAGAGAGTCCCTGGAGAAATCCTGGCTGTAGCTTTTTCCATATAGGTGGAATTTCTTCTTTGTGTGCATGCCATTAATTTTACTTAATTTGTCCTCTTTTTATTTTGCATGTAAAGAAAAAAGCAATGCAGGCATACTGTTGATACTTTATCATAAGCATAATTCCTATGAAAATTTATCACAGTCCCTTAGAAGGAACAATGGTAAGAAGCAAAAATTAACAGTTTTCATTGTAGCTGAAAGATGTACTATGAAATGTTAATGAACAGCTTATCATGCATTTTCTTCTTATGAATGTCCCTTTTACCTGTTTCACCTAGCGGGCTTTGAGACTAGGCATTCATCCCTTAGCACTGAATACTTTATATCAAGATTTGGCTCCTGCATTTGATACATTTGAGAGGAACAAAACTGAGATACAACCGGAATGAATAACAGGATATCACCCCAAAAGTAAGGGATTGCTGCTAACATGTACTGCCACCAAATGGTCGTTTAAATGAAAAGCACCATTTTCCCCTATACGCTATGCAAAATGACCAGTAATCCCCCAAATTACTTGTGGCTTGTTAGAAAAAACATGTTTCTATGTATAAAATAATAGATTTGATATAGTACCCAGAGTTTCATTAATAGAAAATAGGAAAGAAGGTGTTTCAGGTCCAAAGTGGAATTATTATTGGATTAAATAAAAATTACTTTTCGAAACCCCTTCTTCTTGTTTCAGTTCTAGTCTTCTTTACACTCTGCTCTCACTGAGAGCTGAACATCTCCTGTCTAAGCTGAGATTTCCCCCTTTATTGCTGCACCAGGAAGCCTTTTTTCTCCTTTAAATACTTCTCTACAGCTTTTGTTCCTCAAGTCTATCAACATTACTTTGCCAGGGATTTTCTGGCCCTTTGCTGTGGCAATAAAGAAAAAAACCTACCCAAGCTATATGCCTCCCCCTCAGTCTGCATGGTTTGATCTACTAAATTAATCTTATCAAGTTCTGGTTCAGGACTCTCTCCTGTTGCAAAGCCTTCAAGAGACTGACACCAGCTAATGGCTGATGACAGAGCCATGGTGGGTCACTGACTGATGCTCTCCTATATCACAGATGTCCTGGTGCATGATTTAGCACCATTCCTTGGTGAGCAGTGCCAGCCTACAGCAACCAGTCACCCTGATGACAATCTCACCTTATTTATGAACCTACATTTGCTTCCTAAATTAAATTTTAAGTTCTGCAGAGCAAAGCCTGTTTCTTCTTATATTCTTGTATGGTGTTTAGCACAGCAGGACCCTGATTGGGACATCTGTGTACTATTACAAAACAAAAAATGAATCATGCCAATAATAACTAGGACTTAAAAAAAAGCAGCAAAACTTATGGTCAGATTTTGGCATGTGCAGCCTGGGAATGTAAGAAGTACGTCTCCTTTCTCATGGTCTCATGCTCAGACTGTCCTAATTTTGGTACCTGGGCTAAATTAAAAAACACATGGTAACAAAGACTGGCTTATTTGGGGTGACAGCTACTCTTGTATTTACGTACAGTACTTAGTACACAGGAGCTTGGAGGGACTTGTAGGCATTGCCTCAGTATGAAAGTACTACCACTGCCTCTGACATCCATGCAATGAGATGGAAAGGTCAAGCCTTGCCTGAGATGCTCTTCTGCACCAGACATGGAAGTGGGTGCTGAGCTGTGGGGAAGAGCAGCACTCTGCCATCATGCCATAGACAACCAAAACAGTTAACACCTTCAGCCTGTACAGTCCTCTGCATAGCACTGTGCCTTCCTATCTGCCTGAACAGGATTTATTTATCAACATACACAGGTGCGCTAGAGCTAGAGCAGAGGGAGAGAGATGCTTTTGGCATGAACTTCTCACTCTCTGAGTTGTATGGGATGAGAAAAAAAGGGAAAGCAGAAGTGGTGAATGAAGAGAAGATGAAGGGCAAGATAAAGTACTGATATTGCAGGTAGTTAGAGAAGACATGTGACCATCTTGGGATCATATATTTTTTTTATTTCCCAGCACTACTCCACAGAAGTAAAGCTGTCGCTCTAGTCCATGTTTGTTGGTCTGGGGGATGCAAAGGTGAGGATGGATCATGGTGCTGTGGAGAAAAAGGTGTAGCTGAGATTTGAAGCAATGTGAAAAACTGTATTTGTGAGATGAACAGGGCAACAAAGCTGTCACTGCAGGAAGGATAGGGAGATAGCAATGCAAAAATAGCAAGTTTAAGTGCTCAACAGATGATGAAAATGGCAACAATAGAAGAAGAAAGTATATTTATAAATCCCTTTTGTCGTTATGCACAGAATAATTTGTAAATATGAAGTTATTTTTTTTATGAAAGGAAATGACGAAATATAAATACCCGTGGCCAGAAGACACGTTCTAGTATGCCAAAACCAAGCTCTGGTATGCTATTCCAGACAGCTCAGTCACAAAACTAGACCAGGGTTAACACAAATGTTAATGCATGTACTTAGGCATCTGAGCACACCTTATAGTCTAGATTTATAAAGGAAAGTTAATTCCATTCAATTAAAGATAGTTATGAAAAATTGTATCCTGGAGGTCAAGACATATCAAATACTGAGATCTTATCCTATACTTGTCTGTGGCAACAACACAGAGTTAAAAAAGAAATCAAGTAAAGGGAAGACTTTACAAAACCATGAAAAAATTAGTTCATGTATCCTCTGGAAAATTTATCACTGTGATGGTTTAGGATTAATTATAGTTTTGACTCTGCTTTTAAGATAGAAATTCAACATCAGTCACAATAAAACAGTAAGTATTGTATAAATATATACCAAATATATGTATAACCTCAAATGGTCACAACTACTGTAATGTCTTGAGAGGTGTCTTTCAGACCTTTGGTGCCCATCCTATGCATAGACCCCTTCTGCAACTGTAGCTAATAACATAGGCTTGAGCACCAGGCCCTCCTCCATATTGAGTTACGGGCCAAAGAAGTGTTGCCTAAAAAGCTGGGGAAATAAAGCCTCCCAGAGAGGACAATAGGTTTTCTTTACAAAACATATGTGCTGAATTTCCATGTTTTTACTCTTCTCCATTGGTTTCAGTCAAGGTGCATTGCAAGTTAATCACCTTATCATTTTTCACATATGAATATCACTGACCCTAGAAACTAATCTCTTCTAGATTTTATGAAATAGCAACGTGCTTTTGCTTTAATAGAAAGGGGAAAATAAAAGAAGGAAAAAGAAGCCTTAGCTGCAAATGAAAGACTTGTGCCAGACAGACTGGATCTGCATGTGCAATACCCTTGCTTCAGGGTATTTGGATGTATCAACAGTTTTGATTCAGACCATTAGAGAGACAAAACCCAACTGTAAAACTCTAAGTGAGATCTGAGCAATGCTTAGAGTGTATTTGGATAAAGAGTTTTGGCTGACCTATTTAAAGGATGATGTTGTGCAAGCGATTACTCCATAATCTAGGCAAGTGCCAAGACATATTTAATAGGAAAAAGTAGCCAAGACCTGAAAGTTTTCTTTTTTTTTTTTTCCTTTTTTTTTCATAAAGACTGAAAAAAACCCCAGGATTATATACTGCATTGTAGAGTTATAAAGCTATCTCTCTTCAGAAGTCATCACCATTTCTCCTAGAAAAAATGGCATTCAAATTAGAGGGGGGCTATTTCAGATTATTTCTGTAAAATAAGACAGATTTATTGTGTTTCTGAAACAACTGTGATGGTTTCTTTTCCAGTAAGCTGGAAAAGCTTAGTTAGCTACTGCCTAGTGATCTGTTTGGGCAACTTCACCTTACAGAGGATCAAAACCATGCTCTCTCCCAGGGCTGTGCTTAGCTCTCTTTCAGTTCTGCTCTTGGCCTCTGCACAAAAAACAAGAGGGTTCAGCCATTATTATTGTAGTTGTTAGGTTTCTCTGAAACAGTGGACCAAAACTCAAGTGATGTAAGAAACACTGTATTGCATTAGCACACTGAACAACAGGGTAAGTTAGCAAGAAAAAGGCATCATCTAAATACCAGACAAGGAATCAGGATTTTTAATCTGCCTTCTGCTAATGATTTGTGGCCTGGAGGAATATCACATATTCTGTCTGTCTTTGCTTCCACATCCTAACCACTCAGTAAGAGGATAATGATCTTAAAGCTTGTTGTAAGAATTAGTTAATAACAATAAGCGTGTTGATAAGGTCAACTAGCAGCTTTTTGCAACAAGAAAGTGATCTTGAGTATGAATGAGTCTTTTCCTGATGAAAAGCTGGTTTAAAGAAAACAGATTTAATCAAGAAAAAAATGCCTTTTGGTCAAACCAGAGTGTTGAAAAGATAGAAAGTCTATTACTGAAAAAAGAAGCTCCAGATTAGAAATGCAGACATAGCATTCACTGGTAAAAAGCAAGGCCCTGTTTGTAAATATTTGTAAATATTTGCACCAAGCCCCAAATCTACTCAAACACAGATCCTGCCTAGTCTCAGAAAATAGGTCAAGTTTATAAATGTACTAACATATGGATAAGCACTACCCCACACAGAACATCCCTGATAAAATACATTAGGTAGGCTGGCTGACGCTGAGATGCTTCTCATTGTAGGATGACACATTCATTAAATTCCATCCATGTTTGCAACAGCTTGATGGTAATGGGCTCATTTGGTTTCTCTTCTGAGGCAAATATCCTGTTGTTCCCACTGGGATCTTCAACTCTCTTGTAAGCCTCAGGGCATACCTGAAGACACCTAAAAATAAATAAAAAAAAAAAAAAAAAAAAAAAAAAGAGAAAACATTGCAGGAAATGACATTTGGGGTTGAACTCTATATGCAGTCAATGGAACAACATATATGTGCAAAAACCACTAACTGTGGAAGTCAGTCTTGTGCAAGCAGGGGAAAGCTGGGCGGCTGGTTCTGGGGGAGGCTGTGCTCTGCACTGCTCTTCCTGCTGCAGTGCCACAATGCCTGCCTTCTATTAAACTCTCTTCCTGGTGGGGTGGGAATTCTTGTGTTCCCAAACCACTCATGGACAATTCATAAGCATAATGGAAATTTAATTCATTGAATAAAATATGTGCTGTAAGTTAGGCAATTGTCTCTAGCATGTTCTCTGAAAGCTTTGTCCATTCAATTTCAAATAGTTCCAAAGACAGATACATGGATATAACTTTTGATTTCCTCTGGCCCTCAGGACTCTGAGTACTTTACCATCTGTAGCATATTTATTCTCACAAGACCTCTGTGATGTAGAGAGGGACTATTAAATCCATTTTAAGGATGAGGAATGAGAGCCAGAACAACACTGGAATCAAATAGGTGATCTGGGCTTGAGTAGGGTATGAATTGAAGCCTTCCTGATCACAGACTAAAACCTTAATTACATCATGTTTCCCCCCCAGTATTGTCTTTGCTGGGAGCTTTTTCAAGCTGGAGAATTCTGTGTAGTTGGCAAAAATTCTATGAAAAAGATGTATTTCCTTTTTTACAGTCTATAGGGCTTTTTCCCAGAAATGAAGATTGGAAGGAGCTGGAAAGTGAAATCTGAGATAAGGGGAATAGGTTTACAATCATAATGTGAAGGTAACTTCTGTGATGTTAGTGAGACAGAAATTTAAGTGAGGCCTCAAGGAGAGAGGGGATAGGAGAATTTCTTTATAGCAGTGCACAAAAATTCACAGAAGTGATGCTTCTCACTTTTCAGATCATATCAAACTTAAGAGCGCTACATGGCTATTACCCAGCACAGTCAGCTCTCCTGTCAGAGCTGCAGATAGGTTTAGTTTTTCAACTTGACTTGTAACTCAGCCCCTGCTGCCCCTTACTGGCTTCTGTTATTCCCCTACGAGTCCAGCCCTGAAACATACTTTTTAGGCTCTAGATCACATTACACATATCTAAACTGCTGTCCATTGTTACTACCTTTCAGTTTTGCTAATTTCCAGAAATTCTAGATTCTCTAGTTATATTAGGTTGCATTTTTTCAGGCTGAATCAGAGTTTAACACTTCCAACCCATATTCCTTACCTCTCAGCTTGGACTTGATTATTACTCGTGGTGTCCTTCATGTTTATTTCACTTCCCAGACTTAATTACTGTAGTTTTTCTATCCTTTCCCACTGAATAAATATTGACATGCAATGAGACTAATCTCTGTGACACTGTATGGATAATTAACTGTCAGCTTAACCTACTGCCATTAATTGTTACTCTTCATTTATAACCCTTCAGGTAATGAATGCACTGATCACATGCTTATTCACTTCCTGGTCAATTTACAAAAATTTCCCAATTTTTCAAGAAGCAATGAACAAATTACACTCTCATATCTGGCTAGATTTACTCCATATACAGTATCATACAAATCACTGATGCTGATTTATATGCTGCATTAAGTATGGTCCCTCCATCTCTCCCTAACTATCCCAAAAGAATAATTTTTATTTTTCAGTAATTCTTTGCAACATGATCACATGATCAGGCTGCAAAGTGTGCAGTACATCAAACAAGACCACCGATGGGGAGCACTGTTAGCCCACAGCAAACAGATCTAACCTCCAAAGGAAAAAGTTGAAGTTTTTTTCAACGACTTTGTAACTAGTAAAGGCTGGGAGAAGATACACAGTCAATTACCATGACTTGGATGACTTACGGCAACTTAACCGTGTTTTTACAATCAAGAGTGATAAATCCATACTATAAATGCTTACAGCTCACAATTCTATTGGCTCCGACATTCCTAGTACCCACGTATGCATATGTATTGCAAACCACCGAAAGTAAATGTAATAACAGTCTTGCCACTGCCAGCATTTTATTGCACTGAATGACACCCTGACTCAGATTCTGATATTACAGGATTCTACCTGGACATACTCAAAGTGCCTTTTTGTTTGAATTACATTAGATGGAAGAGTTAGAATTGTCCAGTACTTTGGGAGAAAATCTGAGCATTTTTTAAATAGATTTTAGTAACTAAATGGCATTTTCTCCTTTGAGTAAATTTTGAAACAATCCTTAAACAGATTTTTTATTTTTTTCTTTCCTGCTGCTTAAGGTGTTGCTTCTGAGAAAAGGCAAAATGAAGTCATAAGAACTTGTGGCAAATGAAATATTTATGGATACCCATATTCCTATTACTGATTCATGTATTTACAAGAAATCCTTTAAACATGCAATGCTAGTAATTAGATCCGGCCTCCCTAAATATTCCCATTATTTTATTGTTTCATATGAAGACATTTTTCTTAACTTCCCTTACACAAAAAAGCTGTTATTCCTGGCATGGTACGGTTACCCTATTCTTCTCCAGCAGTAACTGCATTTCAGTTCTGGGTGAAGAATTATTTTTATATGTACAGTCTGTGAAACGATTTGGGATCTGTCATGATGAAAGGTGCTCTGTGTACAACACTATTGTTAACTTATTGTATTTCATCAGGTTATTCTATTTCACATCATGTCACTCTACTGAAAAATCCTTGCCAAAAATAAAAGCTGTGCAATGTCATCAATTGAGAAAACAGACTCCTTCAAGAGGCAATGTAGCATGCAGATAGCATAGAAGTCCCCAGGAGCTCAGGCTGGCATTGCTAAAGCATGTAGGGATATCTGAGGTTTCAGCGTGTGTTAGGTATAAACCACTGTGTTTTCTAGTGTACAGTCTAGATGAATGATAAGAATTGAATTAGATTGTGAAGAATGCTTAATATATCAACTTTTTAATTAATACCTTTTCAGAACTACTGGAAATTATAATTTATATTTTATTAGTTTATGCAGATGGATGCAATTTGGCAAATTCTGAAACAGTTTGTTAAGCTTTTTATCAGTCCTAATAAAAAACATCTGAGTCCTCTTAAACGGAAAGCTTCTATTCAATTATTCATTACTTTAAGAGATAAAATAAAACCAGTTGTTATTTCCATTTATTTTACTGGAAAGTCAGTGCCTATTACCTTTAATAATCCTCTCTTTCTTCCCCAGCTAGTTCTTTGTAATGTTATAAATTGTATCATGTAGTTTTTGTAAAATTTATGGAAGACTGTTGCAGTTAAAGAACAAATACAATGAAGATCAAACTTAGGATCTGAATGATTTTTGATAAGACTTGTGACTGTGACTCCTGAAATCCTAACCATATTTAACCAACACTTGGATTCCTAGATGTATTCCAGAACAGCTCATTTTAAAGAAGGAAACTAGACCCAGAACAAGACCTAATGGATTTCCAAGTAAAAAAATCAAAATCATATAAACACTTTATTACTTGTTTTGCAAATCTTTACACAAACAAGTAAGTACTACTATGATTAATTTACTGTATTCCCAAGGCATCATAAATCTACAGGCATTCTGTGACAATATAATAAGAAGTTTTGGTTTGAAGGTTGTAGTTAATATTCTAGCTAATAAACTTTCCTTTCCTTAAAGATGAACAACTGATTTGTTCCAAGCCCTGAGAGGCAGTGCATTGCTGTACTGCCACCAGCAAAGACCAGGGCTGTGCTTCTTTGGGAACCACCTTCTGCTTTGGCCACCCTAATGATGTGAGGAGGCAGTGATTATACCAGGTCTCTGCCCATTAAAGGGTGTGTTTCATGGGCGAGCAGCTAGCACAGCATGCTCTCGCCTCTTTGCTTTGCGCTTCCATGCTTCTAAGCTATCAGGTGACCCTACATTTTTTCCTTATTTTAACTGAAAGGAAAAGAAGAACTCAGAGATGGATCAGATTCTCTGGTAAATCACGCTGTTCTGGCCACAGGGGAGTTAAAACTGAACAAATGTGATTCTCCTCTTCACCTTCCTAATTCTGGCCTATGCCTGAAAGCAGTCTCTCCTTAGTGCAACTTAAAACAGTCCAAGAAATGCTCAAAATTAGAGCAGACTGAAATAGCTCTTCACAGGCTGCTTTCTGGGGAAAGGACTAGCTAGTAATGCACCATGGCCATAACCTCTGCAGCTGCAGACCCCTGAGCACCAGCTCATCACCCGCATTGGAATAAGAGTGGTACCCAGGTTAAAGTTGTTAATGTTGGTGTATGCCAAGGGGCAGGCTGCATTCTCTTTGAAGCTCTTCTTTAAATGCATAATAATGCAGTGTTAACATAGAAAACCTATGTTAAAGTAACATAGTAAAAGTTAGATTAAAAACTGAAGTTTCTGATTTCAGAAACAGAGGCAGCTATACCAGAACATTTATACCACACTTTTGTTAAAATCTCATAGGGTATTATTCTCAGCCCCCTGTGGCTGTTAGCACAATGGGTGGACTGAGCATTCGCTCTGCATATGCTACTTGGCTTTAAGTCAGACTTCTTAACAGTATCTCAGTGGCATTTTCCCCAGGCCAATTTCCTTTGTTGTGGATTTTTTTTTAGAGCAAAAAAATATATGTCACTGAAGAACCACATGAGAAACACTCTTAAGATTGTGACACATCCTTCAACTCAATAGAAATGTCCCCAGTGTTTCATCTTAATGAAAATATTGTAGGGCTGCACTGAAATGTAATTTCTTCTAAGTAAATGCAAGTAAAACCAGAAAAAAACATATTCGCTACCCTAGAACAAAGTATATTAAACTCCACTGCTTCACTTTGTTAGAAATGACAAATGAAAAAGAAGAAGATGAGCAGATGTAAGGCAATAAGGAAGAAGGTGAGGAGGTTTCAGCAAGAGAGAGAAGGGAGTGGTGGGCAGAGGACGCCTGCCCCAATGCCTTGGTTGAGGGGAATAAAGGTGGTTTA